GATCAAGGCTCAAGGGGGTTTTGTTTTTCATAAAGAGAGTGCTGATTGTGGATGCAGAGCTGGAAGGTGGGGAAGTGGAAGTAAGAGGAACGTGGACAGACAGGAAAGCAGAGGAGTCAGTGCATGATGCCCCAGTGAGGGTGAAGGAGGGCCAGGGAGGCTGGTAGAGAAGCAGCTGGATGGCTAGAGGTGGGCACTTATAGGAGAGAGGCTGGACCTTGAGTGGAGACATGCCCGGGTATGAGCCCGGGGGTAGGGTGAATGGGGGGTGGATGGCTCAGGCTGATGGAGAAGACCCTCAAATGAACATACTGTGTGGTGGAGGGAGAATGAACTTTGACGTCTTGATGGTAGGTGGTGAGGCAATACAGAGCTGGTGGTCCAGGTGCTCCTGACTGAGGCAGGTGAGCAGGGAGGCCAGGGTGGCAGGCACTGCTAGGAAAGGATCTGGGTCTTCCAGGTGCTCCCAAGAGAGGAGGAGCAATCATCTGAAGGGGAAAGTGAGCACAAGGAGGCCAACCCAGTCTCCTGATCAAACGGGGGGTGTGAGGGGGCAAAGCGTCAACTCCATAAATGGTGGCCCAGGAAACAGGGACCACGAGTGACGTGAGGGGATACTCAGAGAAGAGAGGGAGAAGAGTCTTCTGGGTGTAGGGCGAAGAGAGGCCCCAGGACAAAGGAGCACAGAGGCACAGTGATGAGGGTGGACTGGTTCTAATGTGACACTTCAGCGATGGTTGGTTCTTTGTCCTGAGGGCTTAGGTTGGGGTGGCTACTGGCCTCATGTGGACCCCCATCTCAGCAGCCTGGACAGAGGCTCCTGTTCCTGAGAGCTGTGTGGCCACCACTGTTCCCGGAGGGGCTCTGCCTCCATCTTCTCTTATCAGACTCTCCTGCCCAGCCCCTGACCACCAGCGAGGGATCCTGGGCCTTGCAGCTGTTTGCCACGGAGGGACACAGGCTCCTCGGAGAAGCAGGCTGATCTTACTTTTCTCCGTAACCCAGGGCCTAGTAAAGCGTCAGCCTATGGGTGGGCCATGCAGGGGCTCGGATACTTACTAAACTAACTCAAAGCAGTAGAATAGCAGAGCTGGAGGAAGTGACCACTGAGCTCACTGCCCACACCCCCATTCTACAGATGAGGAAACAGAGACCAAGCGGTGAAGCAACCTTGGCCAAGGACACGCTGCTCCTTAATGCTGGCCTGTGTTGCACATGCCAAGTGATGAGCTGCAGTGAAGGGCCTGAGAGGGGTCTCTGGGGCCAGACAACTTGGGTTCAAGTCCCAGCTCTACCATTTACTAGCTGTGTGATTAATGACTGTCCTTCCTGTAAAGTGCCACCTCATTGGGTTGTCGTGAATACAGAGTTCCTGGAAGAGCAGGACAGAGTTCTGTAAGGATTTGCTGTTGCTTTAGTTACTATTATTATCACCAAGTGAACCCTGAAATGAAGAACAAAAGCAGCAAGAATTTTTATTTTAAAGGATTTTAAAATCTGATGATGAATGTTTGATTTAATCTATTCAAGTTTGCATTTGACCCTTATTAACAACTACACAATGGATGACTTTTGAGGAAATGTTGCTTCATGTCTTTAATTCTCACTAATGACACAGGCTATTCAACAGGAAGCAGTTTTTTTCCAGGAAGAGGGACAAAAATTAACAATATCTCGGTATCTCTTGGTCCCCAGTGAGTTGGTTGTGACCTGTCAACCCAACTCCGGGGAAGTGCCTGCTCCTCCTGGGCTCGCTGCACTGCCCCAAGGCCTCCAGGGGGCGCTGTACCCCCACACGAATCCAGTCTCTTTGTTCATATCTTTGCTTTAGATCCCTCAAGGCCTGCCCATGCCCCAGGGCCCCGTCTGCCCCACCAGCCTCGCCTGCTGGACTCCAGGACACCATCCTGGGTCTCAACCATCCTCTTGTCCTATGCCTGCCCCACTACTCTTCACTTTGTCCTTCAAGTGTGGGCTTCTGTGGCTCGCCACCAAGCAGGGGTCCCGCTGACATCCACCTTGGGGAACTGCATCGTCCTGCACAGTGCCTAGCGAACCCGTGTGGTGGCAGGAAGAATACAGAACAGGTGCTCAGAGGGGCTGCATTTCCCACTGCAGGGGCCCTGGAGAGATTTCTCCCAGCTGGTTATTCACAGGCGCTGAAGTTGTGGAATCTCGATCTCAACAATTTAAAGGGCATCAACACTAATTACAAAAGCAATCATTTTTTCAGTAGCAAAAGGAGAAAAGACTTTGTGCCCCGCACTTCCAACTTTCTTCCTTCACCTTCAGAGGTGATTCTCACTCTCTGGACAAGGGTAGAAAGCAACACACTGAATATTATTTTTCAATGTTTTTTTCCCAATCTGAAGATTTCTTTTCCAGAACCGATGAAGGCTAGGATAGATTGGCTTCCCTGGAATGAGGATTCAGAGGGGCAGGGGGGGAGGAGGTGGGGAGATCATTCAGCATTATTGAAACAAACAGAGACATTAAAAGGTTCTACTCTAAACAGAAAGGAAGCAGGATGCTATAGAAATGGGAAAACCATAGTTGGAAATGCAATAACGAGTTACAAGAGAATAAACATGAAGATGTAAAAAAGAAAAGGTACATCAAAATACAAAAAGGTGGGAATGGAAGACGGTAGCAAGAAGAGATAGAGTTTTTTCTCTTTCTTTTTTTCCTCATTATCCTTAGGATGTGTTGGAGCCTACCTGATTATCAGTCTATAGGAAATAGATATAGTAATAGTTTCATATACTTGAAAAATAAGGTAACCCCATATCAAAAGCATACAATAGAGTCGCAAAAAAAAAAAACCCAAAAAGAAACAAACTCAAAATGGCTTAAAGACTTAAACATTAGACAAGACGCTATAAAACTCTCAGAAGAAAACATAGGCAAAATATTATTTGACATACATCTCAGCAATGTTTTCCTAGGGCAATCCACCCAAGCAACATAAATAAAAGCCAAAATTAACAAATGGGACCTAATTAAACCTATCAGCTTTTTCACAGTAATAGAAACCATAAGCAAAACAAAAAGACAACCTATGGAATGGGAGAAAATATTTGCAAAAGATGAGACTGAACATGGCTTAACTTGTAGACTATATAAATATTTCATACAACTTGATAAGAAAAAAAATAAACAACCCAATCCAAAAATGGGCAGAACAACTAAACGAGCAATTCTCCATTGAAGATATACAAATGGCCAATAGGCATATGAAAAAAGGCTCAATATCGCTAATTATCAGAGAAATGCAAATCAAAACTACAATAAGTTATCATCTCACACTAGTCAGAATGGCCACCATTCAAACATCCACAAGCCCCAAATGCTGGAGAGGCTATGGAGAAATGGGAACCCTCCTACATTTTTTGTGGGAATGTAGCTTGGTGCAGCCACTGTGGAAAACAGTATGAAGAGTCATCAAAAGACTAAAAAAAACTTATCATTTGATCCAGCAATCCCACACCTGGGCATATATCCAGAGGGAACCTTAATTCCAAAAGATACCTGCACCCCAATATTCACAGCAGCATTGTTTACAATGGCCAAGACATAGAAGCAAACTAAACGCCCACAGATAGATGACTGGATAAAGATGTAGTATTTAGATATAAAGAATATTACTCAGTCATAACAAAGAAGGAAATAATGCCATTTACAGCAACATGGATGGACCTGGAGATTATCACACTAAAGTGAAATAACTCAGACAGAGAAAGACAAGTATCAT